GCAATTGCTCCAAACCAGCAATTTTCAACCTTTGTGCTGCAAGAGGCACTGACACGCCACAGGAATTTTTAAAACCTGCAACACCTAAACATTTAGAGGCACTGACCTCTTTTCTTTTAGATTGTCAAATTTTAAAAATGATAACAGTGAACAGGACAATAGCCATCCAGTATGAATGAATCAAAATTATACGTATTTTTGTCAGATCAGCAAAAATATATATTTTTGGTGTGCCACAGAATTTTAGTGATTAGCTATGTATGCCACGACATAAAAAAGGTTGAAAATCACTGCTGTAAACCTACAGTAGGTCAGGGACCCAGTGTGAGAGAAATGCTAACTGCCAAGAATGTCAATGCCAATTATTCAGTTGGGGATGGGAAATGACTACCGAACAGATGCACAAACCCGGCTACTGTAAGCCGGACCTTGGACAGGACTCCATTATTATCTGCCACCATAGGCAGCCACTCTAATGAGCCATGATGTCCTTTGATAGAGGACTGGGTAAAGAAGATGTGGTCCATATATACTATGGACCACTACTCAGCCATAAGAAGAGGAAATACTGTCATATGTGACAATGTGGATGGACCCTGAGAATATTATGCTAAGCAAAGTCAGTCAGTCAGAAAAAGCTGAAAACCATATGATTTCACTCATATGTGGGATATAAACTGAAACTCATAGGCACAGACAACAGTGTGGTGGTGACCAGAGAGATGGGCGGGGGGGTAATTAAAGGGGGCCAAATACATGGTGACAGAAGATGATTTGACTTTGGGTGGCAGGAATACAATGCAATATACACAGATCATGTATCATAGAAATGTACACTTGAAACCTATATGATCTTATTAACCAATGTCACCCTAATAAATTTAATTAAAAAAAATAAAAGAAACATAATGGGGCCAGGATGACAAAGTGTCCAGATATCAAAGTTGATTCAGACCCTGGGTCCATCAGTCTTCAAAATGTTTGGTTACCCACTTTTCCCCTGGGTGCAGTTATCAAAGGAAACGGCTATTGGACCCTTTGGGAATGGACTTGGGGATTTATTTGTGCATGTCTGTAATGTACTGTGGGGGCCTCAGTATGTGGCCACTTTGGTAAAAGGGTTCCATCTTTGAAAACTGGCTCAGCTCCAAAAATCGGGTGTGGGGTCATGATTTTTTATTGAGCAACCATCTTGATTTTCCTAGTCAACCTTCCCAGACTTTTCTGCCAGTAGCATTCTCAGCTGTGCATCTATTTTGCCCTAGGGATGCTATGTTCTTAACCATTTCTCTAACTCTCTGCAGGTCAGGCTCTCTTGGCCACTATTTAGACCTTGCTGGCCATTACAGCTGCCATACTCTGACTCGTGTCAGTCCAGTGCCACTTCCTGGCCTCTTTTGTTTTAGGACCCTGTCGCCTGTGTTGTCACCTGGCCAAGTTCTGGGGCAGTCTTGTACTGTCTGCTCTTGCTTACAGAGGTGAGTCACCACTGGACATTTGGGTAGCATCAGTGCCCTTTTCATCAGCCTGTTTATTCGAACGCCTATAAATGTGTTATTTGTGCCTTTGTGTGGAGCATAATCACCTGGTGGTTCTTCAGGAAACATGGATTATATCACTTCATCATTCCACATCCTTGACATCTTACTTCCCCCCGCAGTCCACATCACTTCAACTCTGCTTACTGGGGGCCAGAGCTTTTTCTATATGTGATGTTTTATTTATTTTTTAAAAGATTTTATTTATTTATCTTTAGAGGGGAAGGGAAGGAGAGAGGGAGAGGAATATCAATGTATGGTTGCCTCTCATGGGTCCCCTGCTGGGAACTGGCCTGCAACCCAGGCGGGTGCCCTGACTAGGAATTGAACCGTGATCCTCTGGTCCTCAGGCCTGTGCTCAATCCACCGAGCTACACCAACCAGGGCCTATGTGTGATGTTTTATGAATATGTCTGCAAATTCTTTGGCATTCCTCCCTTTGGAAAATGGAGTCTAATTCTTTTCCCTGTGACTATAGGTGAGATTCCGTGACTCAGTACTAATAGCTAGGAAGTGGCAGAAGTGATGTGTATGACTTCTGAGGCTAGTCCACAAAAAGGTTATGGCTTTCCTTTGTCTTCGGACAACTGCCCTGGGAACCCAGCCATCGTATTGTGAGGAAGTACAGGCCACAGGGAGTGGCCATGCGTGGGTGTGCTGGCTGATGTCCCTAATCTGGGCTCCAGCATCAACTGTTAGACATGTGAGTAAATGAACCTTCAGGACATTCCAGCCTACAGCTTTCATGCTGCTCCAGCTGAGGCCTTAGATACTGTGGAACAGAGATAAATCATCCCCATCATTCCCTGCAGTAACCTAGAAAGACAATAGAGGCATATCTCCGAGATATTGCAGACAGGATTCTAGACCACCACAATAAAGTGATTACTGCAATAAAGTGAGTGGCAATATTTTTGCTAGTGGAGGGTCTTGCCTTCAATTTTTTAAACAAGCACATCTGTGAAGCCCAATAAAATAAGATATGCCTGTAAATGCTTGTTTTAAGCCACTAAATATATAGTAATTTGTTATGTAGCAGTAGATAACATCAACATTCTACAAGTCATCATTTGGCAAGATCCCACTTAGTCTTTGCTGGGACGTAACATTCCGTATCTTAAAAGATTGCTCATAAGTCAATAAATTCTTCAAACCAGTTTCACATTCCAGCTCCCTTTTTACTTCTGTGGCGGTCATGCTGGTGAATGTAACAGCGATGGGGAGCACTACCACTCATCAAGCGCATCCACAGTCCAGCCCAACACACATTTTCCCAGTTCCTGGCAGTCACTATTGACAGGATCTTACAGCTTGTTATGGGTTGAATTGTGCCCCCCACTCCTGGTTCCCCAAAAGATGATGAAGTCCTAACCCCCAGTACCTGTGAATGTGATCTTATTAGGAAATAAGATCTTTGCAGAATGATCAAGTTAAGATGAATTTGTTAGAGTGGACCCTAATTTAATGACTGGTGTCCTTATAAAAGGGAAATTTGAACACAGGAACTGGTACACATACAGGGGAAAAGCCATGTGAATATGAAGGCAGAGACTGATGTTATGAATCTAGAAGTCAAGGAACACCAAAGATCGCCAGCAAACCACCAAAGGCTAGCAGAGGGGAATGGAACAGACCCTTCCCTCAAAACCCTTAGAAGGAATCTCAGGAGAGGTGGGAGGGAGAGATGAGCCACATTGGTAGGCTCCAGAGGTTCAAGGCAGTCTGGGTAGTTAAAACATTTGAGGGCTTCTACCTAGACATCTCCAACCAATGTGTCATGGGCCCAGCTTTTCCCAGCCAGGGCCCCAAACTTAGCATAACTTCCCTGGTTGGGTGTGTACCATCTTTGATATACTAATTCCTGGCCCCGGCCTTTGTCTTTATTGTAGCAATGTAGGAGATGAGGGTTTCTTTACACACATCTAAAGAGATTCCATGGCTTTCAATTGTTACTAACCATCAGCTGTCTATTATTTTTTTAAAGAGTATGCATAGTACTAAAGAACAACTATCCATTACCATTATTCTTCCTTATAGCAACTATTTCCATATATATAAAGGCCTAGTACATCATCCACTAATGTACTCTATTTCACTTCAGTGGTTCACCTCCTGCTTTAATACTGTTGAAAAATTAACACGTTGATCACCATGTTGCACCAGGTGTCACAGGTAGGCACAGCTAACCAGGTTCTTGGTAATCATGAACAAAGAACTGAACTGAACACACAGAGTTTATAGGAGAGAGAGAGAGAGAGAGAGAGAGAGAGAGAGTGAGGAGCACAGATTTATTAAGTATTACACTTTACAGAACGGGAGCAGGTCAACTCTGAGCAGAGATTGATCCCCTGTGGCCAGAGGGATTCTATTCTTATAGGGTGGATATATTTCCTGACTAAATTGGTGAGCTTTTATTGTGCATGTACAAGTAGTTGTATTACTTTTAAGCTACTGTGCACGCGGTCTCCCATGATTTTCCTTGATTGTCCATTAGGGGAGGGGATCCCACGATGCAAATTTATTATGTTATTATAATGAAGTGAGGGTCATGATTCACCATAATTCAGCACAGTTTGGGGTACAAGATGTTTGGTATCATCACCTATTAGAGGAGGGGAAGGAAGCAGGATTGTGCAGAGTGTAGGCAGGCCTAGCAAAGCTCTGGAAGGCCCCCTGTGCTGCTCATCAGAGGTGTTCTGTGTTGGGCTCAAATGGCCAGACTTTATACTCCTGCCTCACTTAGTCACCAGATAAGGACTTCGGCAAGGTGGCTCTCCACCATGGACATTCACTAGTCCAGCCTTGTATATGCAGACACACTTCCCATGAGCAAGTGGGAATCAGCTCCTTTAGGGTCCTGCGGGCTTCTCAGTTCAACTCTACATGTGGGATCCTAGTACCTTGTCTCCTATCTGTCCTCTCACTTCCCAGGGTCACTTCATGATCTGACATGGCTGCTGGAGTTACTTCCTGGTCAGAACTCGATCTTCGAAGGCTGTTTGAAAAGCAAATAAGTTTACACGTAAAAGCCTGGGGAAAACCCCTGGGCCACACCTCTGCGACTATCTCGGCAGCAATGCAAAGCCAGGATAGTAAGTGTGCCTACGGTCTCCCAGCACACTACTAGGAACCAGAAAAAAGCCCCGGCAGTGTAGCACACCGTGGAAGGTACGATCCCCTGACCCCAGGAGGAGAATGGGGGCCCCAAGATCCTTGCACAGAAAGAGATGACCCAACCTGGTCCTCTCGAGGAATCGGATTGCTAAAGGATCAGCATTCTGGCGCAGAGCCTCTCGGAAGTGACGTACTTCCGAATCTCCCAATGGGAGCTCGGAGCGACCTCGCCGCGACCTCTGGACCAATGAGAATGAGCCATCGGTGTTGCTGGGCGGTGCTGGGACTCCCAGCCCCGCCCACGATCCGATGCGCACGCGCGCTCCCTTGCCTCCCCTTAACCGCGCACGCGGGACCTGTGTAGGGCTCGAGCTCTCTCAGTTGTCGGGGGCGCGCGGGCGGCGGCGGCGCTAGAGGAGCCGCCCGTGAACGTGCCAGTGCCAGTGCTCGTGCTCGCGCCCGAGCCGGTGCCGAGCCCCTCGGGCCGCGCCCCTATTCTGCCGTCTCTGGTGCCCGACGGCCCGATGCAGGTCCGGGAGCTGAGGGGAGCGACGTAGCCGCTCCCCGCAGCGCCGCTCGGACCCGGCCACGACCCTGACCCGGGACCCCGCCCGGGCTCAAGCCGGCCAGGCAGTCCCGGGGCGCGGCCCCAGCCAGCGAGCGGGCCATGGCGGACCGCGGGTGCCCGCTGGAGCCGGTGTCACTGCCCGCCGAGGTGCGAGAGAGCCTGGCGGAGCTGGAGCTGGAGCTGTCGGAAGGTGAGCGGCCCGGCCGCGGGGCCCCGCCCGGCCCTCACCCCGGACGCGGGACCCCCGCCATGCTTCTCACACTCAGGAATCCTGCCCCGCCCCTCACCCCGGACCCCCGCCTTGCCCAGCAGTCACCCGGGGAGCTAGCCTGGTCCCTCCTGCCAGGACCATTGGACCCTCGGGCCCCTGCCGGCTTGTCGCAACCGCTGCGCTTTGGGTGCCCGTCCGGTTGAGTGGGTGGGTAGTTTGACCTCGGGCGCGTAAACCCGGACGCGAGTGACCGTGTTGTCTCAGCAGTGGGCGGTGGTTGACCCAGCCCTTGGCCGCAGGTATGGGCTTCTGGAGTGTGGCTGTACCCTGGCAGCTGCCGCCCACCTGGGGTGCGAACCCTAGAGCCCGTCTTCGTCTGTGTGCTTCAGTTTCCGCCCCCCGTGCGCGCAGTTTCCTCCCCTGTAAAACCGGGTTAAAACGGCACCTCCCTCTCTGGAGGCACTTAAAACGAGGTTGTTTAGCGCCTTTACGGAATTTTTTAAAATTAAAAATAAGTTCAATAAGTGGTTCTTTGCTTGTTAGAAAATAGGCTGGAGGGATTCCGCTTGAGCGGTGGTGGGTGGCATGACCCATGTGGAGGTTATTGCTGCCCGAACCTGTGTCCTGATGTGCCGTTGGATGTCATTGCTTGAAGAGAAAGTTCTTGCGCAGTATCAAGACAAGCATCTAATGTCTAACTTTGTGTCTGAAACTTAAGTGCATTTTCAGCTTTTAGAATCTATTTTTATAGTCTTATTCTTTAGGTTTCAGGTTGATACGTTTCGCTGTGGTTGGAGTAGTGAATATTACGCCCATCATATAAATAATTACTGGCTTGTACTAACACATTTAATTCTCACTACACTTGGGGAGGTAGGTGCTGTTGTCTGTTTCACAGATAATACAACATCTACTTGAAATTGTTTTGAATTCAACATGCAGATTTTTAAATGTTCTGTGATAGGTGGTGCGTTTTTTTAAAATTGAAGTGCAATAAGAAATGAGTGGATTTAAGAATTCTTGGTGATTAGATGCTTTTGGGAAGTCTAAAAACTCAAATTTGAAATGGTTCTAACAGGAACCACTGTCCTGAATTTGTTGCAGCTTTTCATCCAGGGAAAATAATGCAGTGCGGTTTTGAGTTTATGCATTGAAATATGTTTTTGCAGATTGCTCCTAATTTCTGCACCAGCATATTTGTTATTCTCTGTATTTCTTGTTTCTTTGTGGTTGTATGTTTGAGTGCTATCTAGGAGTTGATGGTTAGGTAAGATTAGATTCTTTCCTCAAAGAACTTCATAATTTGTATGACAGAACAAACCCAAAGTCAAGTACTTCAGTGAAAGAAATATCTCTTATCCATTGAATGTTTTATACTATCGTCATTTTAGACATATGTGGAGGATTTATACGTAATATAAGGGTATAAGGTTATATGTAAGTGTAGAAGAACCTGGAAATGTAGCTTAAGCCGAAAAAGAGGGAGAACAATGCTTGTGTTAAAGGGAAGGGACAGCAGAGTGCAGCTGCCACCAAGGAGACAGGAGCCCTGGCTTCTGTCCCAGCTTAGACTGACCCAAATAGGTCAGTGATTCCTTGGGCACAATTACCCTTGGCCTTGCTCCCAGGGTGCTTCCACACCTTTGACTCTGGCTTCTTCAGTTCGGGTTGTGAGTCTTGTTGACATGGGGCCTCCCCATTGTCCCGAGAGATGCTTTGAGATACAGGCTGTGTCTCTGGCAGACTTTTGGCATCTTCACAGTATCTCTGAATCTCCACTGAATTTTAACATCTCTTAACTTGGGTTTGGCCAGCTGTAAAAGGAGGTGAACACCTGCCTTATTGATGTCCTGGAGTTCTAATGAAGATTCAGTCAGATGGTGTATGTAGAAGTGCTTCGAAAGTGCTGAGGTTTTATGTATATAATTAAAGAAAGGTATTAACAAATCACAGCCCTAAGCAACTGAAGTTAGTTTCATTGTTATTATTTTAATATTTTGATTAAGTAGAAGTAAAAGTGGGATTCACTTTGTCCTATGCCACTCCCTCCCCTCAATTTTGGAGGGGAGATAGATTTCTGATTCAGAATAAAGTAATGTTAAATAGGATGACTCCACAGTATTCACACTTGTCTGAATGAGACGTTGCTTAAAAGTTAGAGTTGACACTATGCTAGGCAGGTTGGAGAAGGAGGAAACTTAACAGGCACTTTCAAAGGAGTGGGAGTGAGTGATAGGTACCTGACCTGTCTGGAAAATCCTGCGCTGTTTCTCCTCAACCTGTACACCAGCAGTGGCTAGTTGAAAGTAGGCTCCTGCCTGTGTTATAATTCATGTGTGGCCTTGTTCTCCAGCATCCTTCCTAGATTCTTGTCATCCACTGTTGTTAATGGGCTTGGCCCTCAGGGAAGTGTCTGGTCTTAGAATGCACTGATTTTTTATCAATAGGGTGGCTTTGCTGACTTCTGTTATGGATTCTGGAGAAATAAAGTACAGCTGTGGTCTTACTCCCTACCTTTTTTGGCTGGTGCACCATTCTTGACTTAGGGGTCACCTTCAAATTAAGATGAGGGTAAAGGGTGGGGCTGCAGAGGACCCCCCTCTTCTCAGCCTCCCACCCCACTCCCCAAGAACACACTCAGAAGAATTCACACATGTGGCTCTTCCAAGCATGTCGTAATGTCCCTGGATGAAAGTGAGGTGTTAGAAGTATAACCTGGACTTTAAAAAAAAAAAAAAAAGCCTTCCCAGACACTGCGCTCTTTCTATTATTGTATCGAATTACCTTGGGTATACCACAGCTGATTTTGGTACTGTGCAGTGTCTTGGGGCTATTGCTTCTGAACTGCTTTAAAAACATGAACAATGGTGTAAGATTTGTTCTTTGTTTTAGTGGCCTGCACTGATTTAGAGAGGAAATCCCACACAATAGGCTACATTTGTCCCATTCCTGTTTCTTTATTCTGATTAATACAGTTCTTCCCAAGCTTTAACTTTAGTTTTTTGTTTTCCTGCATTCTGATAATACAGGGGCCCCAGGATGGATGGTGTCAAAGGAAAAGGGGAAAAGCTGTTTGTGGGAAAGACGGAAAGGTCTTTTTTCACAAAGCTTCCCACCCCCATTTAAATCTTTTTTAAAAGATTATTTATTTTAGAGAGAGAAACAGAAACATTGATCTGTTATTATTCCACTCATCCATGCATTCATTGGGTTGTGATTGAACCCACAACCGGCAGGAGCTGAATCCATAAGCCTGTCGTGTGGGCACTAGGCTCTGACCAACTGAGCTATCCCACCAGGGCTTAATGTCTCTTTTTTTTTTTTTTTAATTTATTTTTTTAAATTGATTATGCTGTTACAGTTGTTCTATTCCCCCCTTCATTCCCCTCCACCCCTGCCCCCCATCCCCACCATTACCCCCCTTTAGTTTATGTCCATGTGTCTCAAGTCCTTTAGGTTCTATATTTCCCATGCTATTCTTGCCCCCCCCATCTATTTTCTATCTACTGTCTATGCTACTTATTTTCTGTACCTTCTCCCCCCATCTCCTCCTCCCACTCCCCTGTTGCTAACCCTCCTTGAGATCTTCATTTCTATGTTTCCACTCCTGATCTAGCTGTTCTTTTAGTTTGCTTTCATTTTAGGTGTGGTTGTTAATAACTGTGAGCTTGTTGTTCTTTCACTGTTCATGTTTCTTTAACTTCTTTTTCTTAGATAAGTCCCTTTAACATTTCATATACTAAGGGCTTGGTGATGATGAACTCCTTGAATTTGATCTTATCTGAGAAGCACCTTATCTGTCCTTCCATTCTAAATGAAAGTTTTGCTGGATAGAGCAATCTTGGTTGTAGGTCTTTAGATTTCATGACTTGGAATATTTCTTTCCAGCCCCTTCTTGCCTGTAAGGTCTCTTTTGAGAAATCTGCTGACAGTCTGATGGGGACTCCTTTGTAGGTGATTGTCCCCTTAGCTCTTGCTGCTTCTAGGATTCTCTCCTTCATTTTAATTTTGGCTAATGTAATGATGATATGCCTTGGTGTGTTTCTTCTTGAGTCCAACTTTTTTGGTACTCTCTGAGCTTCTTAGATTTCTTGGAAGTCTATTTCCTTTGCCAGATTGGGGAAATTTTCTTTTATTATTTGTTCAAATAATTTTTCCACTGGTGGTTGTGTCTCTCCCCCTTCTGGTACCCCTATAATTCGGATATTGGAGCGTTTAAAGATGTCCTGGAGGTTCCTAAGACTCTCCTCATTTCTTTGAATTCTTGCTCCTTGACTCTTTTCTATTTGGCCATTATTTGCTTTCTTCTGGGTCACTCCATTGATTTGAGTCCCAGTTTCCTTTTCATCTCTATGGGTTTTCTGTGGAATTCCATTCATTTCCCTTAGTTTAGCCTTCATATGTTTCTCTAGTTTGTGGCTATAATCAACCAGATCTGTTAGGAAGCTGATGACCAGTGTTTTAAACTGTGCGTCTGAGAGTTTTGCTATTTCTTCGTCGCTTAGATTTATCTCTGGGGCTTTGAGGTCTTCCTGTGACATTTTTGGTCTGTTCTGGCCCTTTAAATGTGAGAAGCGGCGCCTCGGACTCCCAGGTCGCTGGGTTGTGACGCTGTATGTGGGGGCGTGGTCAGAGCGGGGATATGGCGGCGCCCTCTACTGCCGCAAGCCACGGGGACCGCGGGCCCAGTCCAAGGGCCCACTCCCTCGCCCTCTCGCCCGCGCAGATAGGCAACCGCAGTCAACACGCAGCACCGCCTCCCCACTGTCTCCTCAGCAGTCGCTCACCCGGTGGGTTGATCGGTCGCTCACTAGGTCCAATCCTGGGTTTGGAACCCGTGCGTCTGGATTCGCGCGTCTGGATTCCGTGCCTGGGTCCGTCCCACCGGAGTCCTGTGCAACCCCTCACGAGACGCCGGTTTGGCCCCTTACCGGTCGGGCTGAAGAATTTGTTGTTAACGGACTTCCGAAAAGTTCAAT